CTTGATCACCTAGATGCCTAATAATGTTCAGCAACGCAAATTGGGTGTACACAGGTTGCCCAAAAATGTCGTATTCTAAGAATTAATGTATCAAGTGCTTCTTATTTAAACTAGTTGTGATAATAATTTTCTGGGAAGCAATAAATTATCACAAAACTTTTCAATTGTGGGAAAGCATTATAAATGTTGGTTTCGAGTATAGGTACTAAATACTTCTTGTCAGTTTTATTAAGTTTGTTAATTATCTGTGAAATGGCCAAAACCCCTAACACTTATTATTATATATTTATTTCGTACAATCAAACTTAATTTAATTAAATTGATTACATTTTTTTTATATAAAGGTGCCAATCTTATAATTCCTCAATTAAAAAACAATACCTCGATTTTGATAATTTATACTGTTCAATAGAAATAAATGAAATTCGATCGAATAAATATTTTCATTCCTAAAATTCATAAAATAATGTTCTTATAAATTCCCGAGATTGTTTCCCTTACCCAACCATAATTCCTCTATTAAAAAGCAATCCCCCTATTTGAACAACCCCAAAATCAGCTACTCCTAAAAGAAAATCCCACCCTCAACGATACTCTAATTAGGTTAAGGTAGCACAGTAAAGGTAGTCTGTAATCTTTCACAGGGGCTTATTTTTATTTCAAGTAGCTTACGGTTCATATATTTAATTTTCCAACAAGAAAACGTATTTCATTTAATTTGGTTTCGAGGCTTTGAAGTTGTTTGGGCTCAGTTCGGTTCTTGGGTTGTTTGTTGATGTGCCGCCGCATTTATTAACACTTGAAGGTTTTTGTCGCGACAGATTGCCCGCAGTGCCACGCCCCCTGGGAAACCTGAACCTTATCGTATTTTTCTTTGGCGAGCGTTGTTTACAATTTTCCCCAGACCGACACCCTTCAGGCTCTCATTTTCCAGCTTATTTTCCCGCTTTACGCGTAAGTTCTCCTTCATTTTCCTTTTGGCCGGCTCATTTCGAATGCATTGGCAAGTGGTTAATTTGGCCACGGGCTATCGGTTATCAAGCATCGCTTGCGCCTGTAGAAAATCTCATTGAGTTTATCTCATTATACGCCTGATTGACCATAAAAATTGGATCATCCATAAAAATAAAAAAGTTGTATAAGAAACCACAGCTTTGATCTATCCCCCTTCTCTCTCTCCCTAGCTCTCAGTTTTTCCAACTTTATTTTGCCGCCATTAATTTGCCGCAAAACAAAAATATGGCCACTCCCTTGGGTGCAATCCTTATAAATTGCTTGCTTTCACTATCCACAAAATTTCTACGTTCTCCTCGCCCCAAAGTTTTGATGGCTTCGCCTTCGTCTCGCACTCATAAAATTGCTTAATTAAATGAGTTTTATGTCCTATTGACAGTCGCTCAAACGGAAAGCGAGAGAATTTATGCGGACTTGTCACGTAGCCGACAATTTGTCTCAATCATAATTTTCCCCTATCTTAGTATTTGTTTCCTTTTCTTTTGCAGTTTTTCGGGTTCGGTTCGCTTTGTCGGTGTCCTTAATTAAGGCCTCGAGCTTGCTGTCGGCTGTTTTGTTGGGAAATATGCTATCAAAAGGATAACAATACACGCGTGATGTCCTGCCAGACAAAATAAATAAACGTCACACGTTGCCTTAAGTTGGGGATAAATTGGAAATGTGTTTTGCAAAGGATTTCGGGTGTGCAGATATTATCCATTAAAAATATACACAGACAGAATTCTGACGTTCTCATCTGATTTTAAAAAGGTTCTTAATAATAAAACGACATTTTTTGATATGAAAATATTTTCAATATGCTGGAATCAAGTTGAACTGGCGGTATTTACATTGTTTATCTCAACAACTAAACTAATAGTCCAGTCAGTAGTGCATACTTATTAAAAAGTACTTAAATAAACTCAATTTAACTTTTTTCTTCTCACCATTTTGTTCTGATATTGAGAACATTGAACCCGAAATGTACACAGAGAAAACTATCTAAGAACATTGTTCTTGAATTGAGCACATTGTTCTTGAATTGAGAACATTGTTCTTGAATTGAGAACATTCGTTCTTAAAAACCGTGTAAGTACATTTTGGTATCAATATAAGAACGAAATGGTGAGAAGACAAAAGTTAAATTGAGTTTATTTAACAACTTTTTGAGAAGTATACACTAAGGACTGAACTAATAGTTTATTTGTACATACAATTTACTTAGATACCGCCAATTCAACTTGATTGGAGCAAAATAAAAACATTTTCAACTTAAAAATGTCGTTCTATTTTTAAGAACATTTTCAACTCAGATTAGAACGTCAGAATTTTCTCTGTGTACTTACACGGATTTTAAGAACGAATGTTCTCAATTCAAGAACAATGTACTTTAATTTTTCTTTCTGTGTATATGTATACTTAAAATAAAGTAAAGTATTAAAATGTGTATTTTTAAGTAAAACTAGGTACTTAAATCAAATATACTATTATCTGGTAGTTAAAGATTACTTTTAAAAGTTTCTGAGAATAAGAAATTAAACATTTTATTTCTGCTTAATGTTTCATGGGTTTTATTATCTTTTATAAGAAAATGTATAACTTTTTTATTTAGTAAGGACACTACATTTTACAAAACATATAAACTATTTCTTATTCGTACAAAAGAAAATTATTTGAAACCTAGTATTGTGTCCTTTTCTTAAAAAAAGGGTCATAACTTAAATTCAATTTCAGCCCTGGAATTCCAATTTCTCATAATGATGCTCCGCGCATTCCCCGCTTAATGATCTTAAAGTTCTGTTGCAGAGCAGAAATACCCATTTTCCAGCGACGTAAATCACAGAGTGCGTCTGTAATTTGTACACATTCTTTGGGGAGACGCGTCGCCAGACTTTAAACTTGGGTTGGGGGAAGCCCCGAAAGAAAACCCAGACGAGAACCAAGAAAAGTAAAACACTCACGAGCCCACCGCAAACAAAAATGCCGCCCACCTATGAAAAGGCGCACCCACGATTCCGAGCACATTACGCAGACATAAATACAGACAAACAAAGTTTTGTGCGACGCGTTTCCGATTTCGGTGCTTTCTTTTTTGTGCCGTGGGGGAAAAAGGGAAATGGGAAATGGGAAAATTTTGTGGGGCGGCAGAGAAAGCACGCATGTTGTCTGCCGGTTGTCTGGAAAGAGACAACTCTGTTTGGAAAAACTGCGGAGGGTTCAGCCACCTGGCAAAGATTTATGTAGACCAAAAAGGTGTGTGTATGTGTGTTTGTGAGAGAGTCTTAAAGCTGCCTGCAAAAGAGGGAAAATTTACGAGCCAGACGGGAAACCCTTTTACAACACGGGGAAGTCCCCATTTCCCCGCCCACAATCTGGGCATAATTAGGCTGCCATTAGCAGTTAGCTGGCCCACAGACATAACTCTCCAAGTAGCCCCAAAAAAGAAACCACAAGGTAATTTTTCAAAATTCTCTGTGTTTGCACAGACCATAAATTTGTGTTGAAGGGTTTTGTGATCATATCGCTTACACATTTCCATGCAAATGCATTATTAATGAGCGGATTTCTTTCGGGGGACCTCCTCTGATTTATGGGCCACAGTTAATTAGGATCTCGATTTGCTGGCCCAATTCGCGTTGCCTACTTTCCTGCTCCATTTGGGTTTTTTAAATTTATTTAATATTGATTTTGTTCACACTGCCAAATGCAAACATAAATCAAATTGCAGTCATTTATGCTGACAAATGCAAAAAATGCAGCCACAATAAAATAAATAAACGACATAAATATTGTGTTGGGCAGGGCAAACTATATGTAAATGAGTAAATGGTCAGCGAATGCGTTTAACCGGAATTTGCAATTTTTATTGCCTTCCGAACAAAGATACGTGATGAAAAAGTACCCAAAGGTTGGTTATGATAAACCGAAGGCTTAAGTTTGCTTAATGGGTAAACTTTGTAACTTTTAAAATAAACATTTTTAATTAAGCATACAACAAGTATTCATCATATTAATATACAATTTACAGAATTTTTAAGCCCCATAACATATACACAATCACTTTTTTGCTCGACTCAAAGGACAGTTTTTTCGGGTAGAGTATTTTGTTTGAATAAAAACTCTTTATTATTTGACAATTAATTTCCAATGTGCAAAAAGTCAACAACATACCATTTAATAATTTAAGCTCTTAACAGGATTTTCGTTGCGCGAAAATAAGTTTTAAAATAAAACAATTAAACTAGCAAGTGTCAAACTAGTTCAATTCAACAAATAAATATTTATTAACATATCCAATCAATAGGAAACGAATTTTGTCCAATTAGGATTATGCAAATAGGAATTATGTATGTTTTTTCTGCGGCTAATTCAAATTTAATTAATCTTCCTCGTATTTCCTTACAATAATTTTGATTTAATTCCAGTTTAATGGGCGCAATAAAAACTTTAAACAAATTGTGCAATTGATTGGTAATTAGCTCAGGTGAAATATGCCCTTATATCTGACTGACATTTTTGTGTTTTTTAATCCGCGAAGCATACGGTGTTCAATTAATTTATTTGTTTAACACAACGCGATTGTTGAGGGTTGGAAGATATAAAGATAATGTAATTTTAATGCGTGGTAAATAAATAATTGCACTGGGTTTAAGTGCAATTTGTTGGACAGCATTTAATATTGTGCAAACGTTGTTAAAGTAAAAATCGGGAAAAAAGTAATGGAAACTCTAGAAGCGTGGGGGAACCTGACATTATATCAAATTTCATTCATTAATTTCCATTTGCCAATGCCACGCCTGTCTGACTCTGTGGGTTCATGCCTTCGGCCCCAACTCAGGGATTTTCCCATTTTCCGCTTTTCCTTCCCCTGACAACCGGGCCCGCTGGAAAACTTTCACTCTCTATGTAATACAAAACCTGGGCTCGCTTTTATTTTCTTGTCTTTTCTCGTGTTCTGTTGCGTTGTCTAATCATGTATGAATGAATAATGATATGAATTTGACAAGGCACAAAGTGTACAAAGAAGGAACTGAAGGCGGCAGGAGCAGGACGAACATAAAGGACATGCAGACGAAATTTATTCATGCAAGTAAATGCGGGAAAAATGGAAAACGGCTGAGCTGGGAAAGTGAGCGAGCGGAAATTTTGTTTGCCGTGATTTTAGCCATGTCTAAAAAGAAAGCTACCGCTTCTCATTTTACATCTGTTACAGGGGGAAAGTACGAAAATAAAGTATCTGGGGAGCATTGGTTGATTTTAATTACAACACTTTAAGCACTAAGTAGCTGCAAGTGGCCAGGAAAACTCTCTAAGCCCGGAAAAATCACGCTCCCCTTACAACAAAAAAAAAAAACAAAGGTAAAATAAGAAAAAGTATTTACATTTATTATTAATGTACTTATGTTTTGGGTGAAGAACAGCAGCAGACGAAAGAAAATTGCGTTGTCGACAGCAGTAACTTCAAGATATACGGCTGAGCAGGGAGTTTTCCTTGTTTTGCGTTATGAATCCTTAATGTCTGACTCTGTACTTATAAGACCATACAATCCCGAAATCCAGAAAAATTTTCAATGAAAAAATTCGAAATGCTTAAAGCTCTAATCTGGGGTCACAAACGGTTTATCTAATGGGGTTTAAGGTATCAGTTACTTAGATAAAATTAATGGCAGCCATATCTGGATGTTTAGGTAAAATATTTTAGCCTATTAATAAAATTGTAACGTATGGGTAAGATTTTTATCAAAATCAAAATCACTATCCGTTTTTATAAGAATACATTTTGCCTTACATGGGTTCTCCATTAGCCCTCGAGATAGAAGGTTAATCCTCCAGGGAATCCTCCGCCTGTATTTGCCATTTTTATTATACCATATTTTCAGACTGAACATGCTCCATATGCTTTTCGCTCCCCTATGTGCTTGAAAAAAATTACAAACATTTAAAGTTTGTTTGGAAATAAAATCAAAAGGTGCAGACACAAGGGCCTTTCTATGTTTTTTCCGAGAATTTCCCAATGTCTGACTTTGGGGGCTGCATAATATATGCGTCAGACACACATACTTGTAGCTTGTTCTTCGATAATATATTTGTACAGAAAAGCGAGGAGAAAGTCAAAAATTAGGCTGGGAAGTAGGCAACAACAATAAAATTCGAGGCGTGAAAATGCCGCTGGCGAAAGTATTTAACACCAGCTACAAAAGCACGCACATCTTGCCGCCGAGGTCAAAAACAAATGGGCAGCGGCGAAGGCAGCAGCCAGGATAATTGCCCCAATGGACGTGGCAATTAACGGCCGTGGGCCGCAAGGATATGGCAGGACTTTGGACTCCGGACAATGGACAATGGCCGGCAAGTTATGCAGCACAAATTGCAAACAGTTTGCCAGCCAGGGATATTGGTGGTGGTGGGTCGTAAAGTGGCATTGACAACGGATCAATGTGGGCGGGGATGGTTGTATCTACCTTCCACCCAGTCCCAGAATTCAATCAACTTTCCTCTTTATTTGTAGGCCAATTAATTTTGGCAATCTAACCAGTAAAAGCCATCAGCCTAAACAAGTGACCCTGGCTTGATAAACCCCTAGATGCAGACACTGAGAAAAATATGTAGTGTATGAACAAAAATTAAAAAACTACCTGGTGTTACTTAAAGTTTAAAATATGAGTCATACACTTTGTTGTTTAATATAAGATACTTTAATATACAGATAAATAAAATTTAATTATAGCCTTATGACATGACATTTTATTCAAAAAGCAAGTGCCATTTCGTGCCTAAGCTATTTAAACTTCAATTCGGTAATTGTATATAAACAGAAGAAACATTTTTTGATCTTTATTCTGATTAATTTGAAGAACCTTATCCACTTTAATAAGCATACCATATATTTAAACCACAAAACTTTTACTAATTTTTTGTATTATCATGCTACTATGTGACTTCTAATTGCTTTTAAGTCAACTGAAAAAATTATATTTAATAATGAACATGCTACAATTAGGTTAATGTTTTGGAAACCCAAATAATACTCCAAAAATTTTCCTTAGTGCCCCGAGGCCGATTTCCGTGGCAGTCATTTGAAATGCAACTTGCCAAAGTGCAACATTTCATTTTGGCTTGCAAAACGCTCGAGAATTGACTCAACAAAAACCTCGACAAGCAATAAAAATGGCAAAAACAGAGACGAACCGAATACCAAACCAAACTACAGAAAAGTAGAAAAAAAAGCAGCATAAAACTGTTGCGAAAATGCTTCTTTTGGCGAGTGTGTTTCGTTTCGGGCCAAACAGGGCCAAAAAAGCTGTGACAAGGCACAAAGAACGGGATGGAAAAAATGGCAGGACTAAAACAAATATTCAGCAGGAGGCAAACTTTATTTCGGTTTCAATTTGCGATAAAAACAGCGACAACAGTCGCCAGGGCAGCGGCAAATGAAATTTAACAACTCGCCGAGGAGCAAACTCGAATGGGAAATGCAATGAGAATGGGGATGGGGAATTGGGGTACTGGAAAGGATAAGGCAGGACCTTTTGGGGATTGGGGGCGACTTGGCACAAAAGACGGGCCATGGCGATGGCGATGGCGATGCATTTCCCCTGCTGCAATTGCTGTCGCTGCTTGTTTTTGAACATTCATAATAAATTTTTGCGCTGCGAACCTCCTTCGACAGCAAAAACAAAAGGACCTGCAATATATATCTCCTTTTTTTTGCCGTTCTGTTTGGATCCCACCCACTCCACCGCCTTCAACCAGTTGAAATGTAACGGATGTTAGAGTTGCGCACTGAAAATTATATATAAACAGGATATGACAGGCAGGAAGCCGTTGCCCTTCGGCCCACCACGCCCCCGAACTCCCACATTTCCTATGATTTTCCAACCGCCCCAAGTCGAAGTGCATTGCTAAGCTTTTTCATACTTCTATCTTTTTTTTGCTGTTTTTGCCTTCCATTTGCCCCTTCTGCTGCTTGAATTTTAATGCCAAATGGCATTCCGGATTGAGCCAGGACTTGGTCCCTCGGACTAGAGGAATATCGGAGACCAGCTTCGGATGTGCCGCTGGCCAGGACTAAACGGCTATCAGGGGAAACAAGTTGAGACGCAAGTGACAAGAGTAGCTGGAAACGGAAATACTGAAAAGGATATTGTGTCCAGGGGCAGTAGTTCATATTTGATGCGGAGTGTACATATTTCTGTAAAATGTGTCATATATATTTAAATAGTTGATAAGCTAGTTTTACGGGAGAATAATGAAAAATATTCAAGAATAGACTTGAGCTTGAGACTACGGCGAACGTTCGGTGTAATTCAGATAAATAACAATACAGATAAAACCTTTATTCTTTTTTCTCATCCTAACTACCTTGCTGAAGTAGTTTATCAGTCTACAGAAAATATGATATTCTCCAAGGAAAAACCATTTTGGTTGGCTTTTTTTAAAATGTCCAGATATGTGGTAAGACCATAGTGTTATATAGGATTCGCTATATTTAAATCTTTAAATTGGTTCTAAGGTTCCATTTTTTGTCGGTTGTAATAAAAATATTACAAAAATGTTGTGAGAAAGTGTAATACAGATTATACCTATTTTCTGTTTATCCCATCCTAACTACCTAGCTGAAGTAGTTTATCAGTCTACATCATGTATTCTCCAAGGAAAAACCATTCTGGTTTGGCTTTCCTCAAAATAAAGCTCACTTCTCTGCATTTTAAGTGCTGAGCAGCAAAAACACTTCTCTAGATATGTGGTAAAACCATAGGGTTATATACGATAAAGAACCAGTACTACTCCTTTTGCTATATTTTATGCAAGTATAAACACAAGTGCAGAGCTCACATAAATCACGCATACGCACTGTGGCAGACTGCCTGCTGCAAGAGGAAAAACTATAAATAAACAGACGACACTATAAACAACAAAAGAATGGTTACATATTGCTTAAAGTTTACAACCCAGAGAGAAGGATAAACTTTAAGGTCATCTTAATTAGCCATATGAGGGTGAGGGAATCCTGATAAACTTAAAAATCAAAACATCAAAAATTGGGTTTCCTGTTCAGGGATTCCGCAGGATAAGAATGAGCTGTGTGGCAGTTCCTTGGCCCCCTACACCCCTGTGTTCTTTATATTGAACAACTTTATCCAATTTCTCGTTTTGCGCTGAGACCAGCACATCGCGCATAAGCACGTACAAATCGCATTTCTTAGGCTCCTTCCTGCCGCCTTTCTGCTTCCTGCTTATCCTTTTTTATTTGCCCCTGCATGTGGGCCAGGCTTTGGTTGTTTAGCTGTCAGATTTACTTGTCTCACTGGGTCGTCTGAATATCCTGGGTGCTATGTGCTCTATGCTATGTGCTACGTATGTGTGCTATAAATCGACAGCTAAATCTGCAAAAACATTGATAAGACAAGCGACATGCCAATGCGGCCAAAGGCATTTTCCATCCTCAAACTCCCCTCCTTTTGATTTAACCCAAAATACCAAAACGAACCGAGAATGTTTAGCCAACTTGCTGCGAAATTGCTTTTCGATTTATTTCCTATACGTATGGTGTATATATACATATGCATGTCTGACAAATTGGGAGAGAGGTAAGGCATTGTGACAAATTAGTCTGTGGGCATTTGTTGTTGGCTGCTGCGCTGGCACAAATTATGAGATCCTTATCTTCATCTCTAGGATTGAGTAATAACCCGAGTGAGGGATACAATGTTTGTTCAGAGAGTGAGTTGCAGATGGCTGTCTAAACTGTGTTTTGACCCATTTTGGCCTGGGAACTGGGCCAAATTGGTTTGGATTTGCTTGTCTGAGAGAATTTATAGAACCTAAAATTGTGGAAAATATTTGGCAGAATTCGGCTGCTGCATATCTAGGTTATTTCCAATTAAGTGATGGTTTGAAAGTATGGCAAGCATTTTATTAACCTGTTCAAATATTGATGTACATCAAAGGTTTCGTTAGCTAGTTATAATTTAATAACTAACTTGGTTACTCAATTGTAAGGTTGTAAATTGATTTCAAGGCACTAAAATTAAATTTATTTTTATAAAGAAATTAGCCTGTATTTAATAGGTTTTAATACACAAGTGGCTTTTATAATAAATATATTTATTTATAATATATATCTTTTAACTCACAGCTTTTAAATTCTTGAAATAGTTTACTTGAGATTTAAACACTTAATTTATAATTTTTATGCATAATCTATAGTGATAGGTATTACCTATTGGAAAATTCGAGATTCAATGATAATATTTCCATTTTATAATCAACAATTGATTGAATAAAATATTCCGCAAAATGTTGATACCCTTTGTTCTGAATACAAAGAATAAAGAGGTTGTAGATGTTCCAGAAAATAATTGTATTATTTTTGAGGTTGAACCTATGAATTTTCATATCTCTTTGCTGATATAAATAAAATCCCTAATAGACTCACCTAAGGTCTTGGTCCACTGGGCGGTGGGTCGCCAGTCGGGATAGTGTTTGGGGAAGAGTTCGCGGGTCCAGTAGGTGTGCAGGACGACCTTGTAGACGGCCAGCCGGTCCAGGGTGCATCCCGTCTGGGGGGCGGGCTGTGTGGCAGGGGGCGTGGCCAGCGGGGCGGTCGGATTGGCATTCGAATTTGGAACGGGACTGGGATCGTCGGTGAAGTAGTAATTACGATTCAGATTCGAATTGGCATTCAAATTGCCATCGTCATCGGCAAACTTGATGTTGTCCCTGTTTTCGCGTGGTGCCTGCTGATTCTCGACACTGTATGCGTATATGGATGGGTTCGAGATGAAGGAGGCTCCATAAGCACTAATGGCAGTCACTTTCGGGGATACGAACGACAGACCCAGCAGGATGAACAGCAGCCAGTGGGCCGGAAAGTCTGTTTTCTGTGTCGCTCCCATTTCGTCAAATGTTGCGTGCTAATTCGCCTGCCTGCTCGCAGATGGCTATTTTTGTTTTGATATAATTTATATTTTTCTCGCTCTTACTTTTTTTTTTATTCTTATGCGACGCTTACACTTCACATTTGCCTTGGGGCCGTCGCTTAAAAATAAATGCACACACACTCGCGACACTCACATATTTATTTTTGGTTTCTTCAACTTTGTATGCTCATGCGTTTTCTTCACTTTTTGGACTTTTGGCGCGCAGCAAGCTCAATGAATTCGATATGGCAGCGAGGGGAGATTCAACAGTAGCACGGATCTCGAACAACCGCCCGCGTTGAGAGTTCGTCGCGGACTGAGCAAATGTTGCGGCAGGCAATGAAAACACGGGCCATGGAGAGAGAGTGCTCTGCAGAGAGAGAGCGAGCGAAAAAGCGGGAGAAAATTAACCATCCTTTTAAGAGAACTCTCACTGCGAGAGAAAAAGAAAATGCCATGTTGGGGAAATTCTCATCATCCAACTGTTGTTGCGGCAGAGAAAAAAGAAAGGAACAGCCTGTTGAGCTCCCAGATAACTGTTGTTGATTGGGGGAATTTTTTTATGGGTTCATGTTAAGCCTGATGTTAACTTTAAAGGTAACTGTTAAGGTCAAAGTCTAAGTTAGAAAAATGTGTTTCTTAAAAGATAGATAGACTGATATATAGACAGATAGATAGATAGAAAGATAGAAAGATAGAAAGATAGAAAGATAGAAAGATAGAAAGATAGAAAGATAGAAAGATAGAAAGATAGAAAGATAGAAAGATAGAAAGATAGAAAGATAGAAAGATAGAAAGATAGAAAGATAGAAAGATAGAAAGATAGAAAGATAGAAAGATAGAAAGATAGAAAGATAGAAAGATGGAAAGATAGAAAGATAGAAAGATAGAAAGATAGAAAGATAGAAAGATAGAAAGATAGAAAGATAGAAAGATAGAAAGATAGAAAGATAGAAAGATAGAAAGATAGAAAGAAAGATAGATAGATAGATAGATAGATAGATAGATAGATAGATAGATAGATAGATAAATAGATAGATAGATAGATAGATAGATAGATAGATAGATAGATAGATAGATAGATAGATAGATAGATAGATAGATAGATAGATATATAGATAGATAGATAGATAGATAGATAGATAGATAGATGGATAGATAGATAGATAGATAGATAGATAGATAGATAGATAGATAGATAGATAGATAGATAGATAGATAGATAGATAGATAGATAGAAAGATATACAGATAGATGAATAGATAGATAGATAGATAAATATATAGATATAAAGATATAAAGATAGTTAGATAGACAGACAGACAGGTAGATAGATAGATAGATATATCGATAGATAGATAGATAGATAGATAGATAGATAGATAGATAGATAGATAGATAGATAGATAGATAGATAGATAGATAGATAGATAGATAGATAGATAGATAGATAGATAGGTAGATAGATAGATAGATAGATAGATAGATAGATAGATAGAAATATGGATAGAGAGGTGGATAGATAATAGATAGATATATATAATTAATTGAAATTAATTGTATTTGCATGGGAAATAAGGTTTTAAGTTGGCATGATAGCTAAATTATCTTATTATAGATTAATAAGGAACCCCACCAATATTAATTGATAAAACTTCAAAACTATGATTTATTTTATTAGTTTTCACCTGTTTTCATGTTAATAGTTCAAAAGTGTGCAGCAGCAGGTGAAATATTATTCAGATTTAAACAAGTCTCCCCCAGGAACAAGAGAATTTGACTCGCGCAAAACACTTGACATTTCCCCAGATGAACGTTAGTTGAACTCCCATTGTTGGTTTAACCCCCAACTGCGATTAACCCCCTGTGATTACCGTGGCTTGTGTGCTGCTTTTCCGCTTCACCCCTTGTTGTTCTTGCTGCCGATGATTGCCGCAGGCTTAGTCGCATTTATTGCACATTTCCTTTCAGCCATTTCTGAATGTCAGCGTTAATGAGGCGGGCTTATGTGAATGTCGACTATTTACGTTATACGTGCACATACATATATCTATCTCAATCTACGACCATAAACGAGTGCATGTGTGTGTGTGCGACAGCTCGACTTTTACTATTGTGCTCGGAACAATGAGAACAATTTCCGATTAAAACCAATTGAAGCTCTTTAATTGCTACAATTCAATTAAACAACACGCTAATGGCAACAGAACGGCAACAACTATCGATTAATTGAGTGGGGGTGGTCAGCGGTCCATCATTCTTTCAGAACTCCACTTGAACTCACTCCCGGTAATTGCCATTGACATGTGCCCCCGGTGGCAATTATTCCCCCGGATCACAGGACCCAAATCCATTGCCCCATCCCGAGAAATCCGAGTCTTCAGGTGGGTGCTTCCCGAAACTTGGACACACACAATTATGTTGCACTTAAATGAGTTGTACGTGTCCTGGCCAAATGTCCGTGTCCTGTGTCCTTTATAGATCGTGTCCTGCGATACGCTCGAGTACTACTCTGTACTCGAAACAAACAGGTTGACATTATATTAGTTTCGAAAAGTACAATAAAATTTTTTTTGGATTATTAATAGAACTTTAAAAAATTAAATGTTTCAAGGCCTCATGGCACTTTGATTTTTGTTAAATGTCGAGAAGCTACTATATATCATCGCCTTTAATATACTTATACATTTAAAAAATGTAGTAGCAGTGCACATACTTTTCCGAAGTGTATGTAAATTGTGCGTGCGTGAAATTTATTGCAGTTAATAATAATTGTCCATTCTACTTGAACGACGACCACAACGATAATGGTATACCCACCCTCTTTGACTTGTCTCAAACCGCCCGTGGTCAATTATAGGCGGACAGTCCGCCATTCGTCTTAGACGTGGCCAGTTTCAGGTTGTCTAGCTGCCCTCTGGGCCTTTTTATGGGGCTTTAAATGTCGGGCCATTAGTTAAGTGCGTCATACACGAATATACGAGCCCTAACGGAATTTATTCAAATTAGGTGCTAATGCCCGTTTTGGGTAATGTTTATTAACCAAAGGAAGAGGGCTGCAATATCATTTTTGATTTCTGATAGTTGCTGGGGTTTCGTAAATAGTTATATATCACTATCTTCATGATTCATATTTTGCAAGTAAATAGTTAGTAATTTACCAAAATTATTATTGATATTTATAAATTTCAATTTGTATACCTTTTTCACAATTTTTTTTTGGTTTTTTGGTTAAAAAGTTAATTTTAAAACAATTTCAACCCAAAAGGTTAAGACATTTAAATTGAAATAAAGAAAACTTTAACAAAAGAAAACCTTTAGAAAATAATATTTTTAGGTTTAGAAATTTATTCAAAAATTCACAAATATATTTACATACAAATATTATGAGATATTAATTCATGATTTTTAATTAAGTAGGTTTTTTCTGCTGTTGTTAAGAAAACAATGGGAAATTTTCTCCCCTGCACAGCGCATGAGTTTTCTCTCGCTCAACTTTCTAGTTCGCTCTGGCTTTTCCCAACATTCTGGCTCCGCTCTCAAATTCCTCACCTGAGCGGACCAGGCGTTTGTGTATGATTGTCGGCAAAATACGGATATAATCCATTCGGCCAAAGTAAAATCCCAAATACATGAACCAGAAGAGACAGTGGGATAAGCGGTGGATAGATGGATTGGGTGGAAAGTGCAGACGGCGGCCCCCAAAAATGTCGATGCTCGCCTCATGAGCCACCGAACGGCAAAAATTCCTAATAAAGTTGGCATTTGCCAAACAGACACGCAGACGTGCAGACAAACAAGATCCGTGGACCCCATAACACATTCTTCGACCAAAATTTGCCCACCCTCACCTGTTCGCCGTTGTTGCTTTTATTGAAAAGCGAATACAAAGCAACCAAAATGCCACCCAGCGAATGGTGATGCATCTGCCGTATGTCGGATGCATTTCCTTCTGGAAATTCGTGGATGCTTTGGTGGCATATTTGCATAAAAACTATGCATGTGTTTGCCACCGATGCCATCATATGTATATTCTTATTTTTTTTCCACCTTTTTTTTGCAAATAAATCCACTGAGGACAAACAACAACAAAAGGTGCATAAAAGGTACCATACAGATTGCCATCGAAAGTCAAAATACTTGAAATGTCTCTCTGACGCTCACAATGAGCAACGCATTTGCATGTGGCATGTTGGCTGTGGATGGATGTTGCATGTGGCATGTTGCTGCTGTGTTTACCTCACAATGCATCTGCAGTCTCTGGCATCTGATTTTTGGCCCATTTCGCAATCTGGTCAATACCATTCAGCCGGCTTTTGACTCAATTCCTGCTTGGCATTACGAAAAGCAGGACGGATTGGTAACCATGACAGAATGTTAGCTCAAAATGCACCTGGCATAAGCCATTCCTAATGGTAAACTACTGTGTTTTGGTAAACAAGCTGATAAGTCATTTCAACATTCAGAAGCTTTAAGCCATTGAAAGACTTTACTGGGTCTTCTGCATACGTTATATATAGATATATAATTATGTTTTAATTATTACCCTAGGAAATACTTTAAATTCTAAAACTAATTCGAAAATATTAGTTCCCATTTAGTAAAATATCTCAGTCATGTAGGCCATTTATCAACATTGTGGTCATCCTCTGGAAGGGGGAGGAAATAATGTGGTAAATGGGGAGGTAGGCAAGTTCATTAAAAATGCTTTGGCACTCGTTCTAATTCCACAAATCATTCTCCCTTAAGTCGACGTAATCCACTGCAACGCCAAAAATTTGTCAGTTTCCAAAGGCTTAGCGCATAATTTATGTTCTTTGGTGTCGGTCAGCCATAAGCAAATATAGATATGATATAAATAAATAAAACACACACATTCGTTTGTTTTCCGCTCATATTTTTATGATGTTACATGGTATATTTAATTTGATTTTTGTATGCTGATGACACAACACTTACTTCCAGCAAACTGCAAACCCATTGATATAGTTTAATGCAAATTAAATGGAATAACATTTATTTTCGGTCAGTCTGTCTGTGGCTAGATTTCATTAGCTGCCTGCGCAAAAATCCATTGGAAATCAATTAAAAATACATATTTGTGTAAGAGAGCAGTTTTGGGTTCTCTGTTTTTTTTTTGTTTTTACCCACTGCCCAATGGTCTGACCACGAATTATATAATTTCAATTAGGTTTTCGGGTCTCCCTTCACTGCCCTTTCAGTTGTGACACTGAAAACGCATTTTATATTTGGCGGTAATTATGCGGCGATTGCAATTGGACCGATTTAAGCGGCCAGTTGGCTT